CTGGGGAGGGCTAGCCTCCCACTAGTTCAAATTAAGGATCTACACAGCCCTTAATTCGAACTAGCTAGTTCGAACTAGGCTTAATCCTCGTAAAATGAGGTTTACCTAGTTCGAACTAAGCGCTCCGGGGTTCGCACTAGCCGGCTTTTAAAAATGGCGGCGCCGGCTTTATGCTAATGAAGCCCGGGAAATTCAAATCCCGGGCTTCATTAGCAAGTTCGGTATGCATACATTACTCCGCTAGTTCGAACTAGCGGGGTAGTGTAGACATACCCATAATTTTATATATTTTTGTTAGTCTCTAAGGTGCAACAGGAATATTCGTAGTGGTAAAAAAAAAGTATTGTTTCTCGAGTGGAGAATAGTGATAGTGCATGTGTCTGATATATAACTATGCTCATCAGAATGGTTTAAAATCTTAGTAAAAAGCATAATAAAATTATTCCTTAATTTCAGGTTTTGCTGGCCTCTGACATTATAGTGGAGTTGGATTAGAATCATAAAATGTTATATTTACCATAGCTCTTAGCTACGTTCAATTAAATTACATTTTGCTTCCAAATAGAAGATTTTTGCAAATAAAAGTACTGTCATAAAGCCTCATTTCAGTGACCATCTTTCATGTTGCTCTGACAAAAAAAATACTGTACTCTGATTAATAAAGAATGTGTGATTCTCTGAGAAAATATTTCTTGTTGGGCTCTGAATACTTCTATGTCACTTAAGAGAGCAAGAACGTTTAATGTGTTTTCGTGGAAGGATAAAATGGTATAGATTTAAATGTTGATTTATATTTTTTCATGTTAGTTTTTATTCACATTGCCAAAGAAATGTAAATAACATTTTTAGACCATAGTTCAGCAAAGTACTTACTCATGTGCTTAAATCCACAACTGTTTGAGAAATTGCTTATACACATGCTTAACATTAAGTATGTGTTTAAATGTCATTGTTTTCATGTGCTTACTTGCCTTTTTTGGATATGGATACTTTCTTGAATCATTGAATAATCACATACTAGTTGTAGCAAATAATAAATATAATCAGTCAGATATTTTACAAACTGATGATGTAACATTAATTGAAGGTAGAAACTTTATTTAAATGGTATGGGTAGGAGGAACTATTATTGAAATACATCATCAATAAGAACTGTATTAAAAATGGCATTCATCATATAAATTCGTTTGCGCCATTAAGTTTATGTTAATAAGCTTATCTGCCATATGCTTTGAATTAAATTGCAGAGTTTTATGCATTTTATTTCAACCAGGTCTGGAACCACATTAATAAAAGTATTAACTGTGCCTTAACTTTGCAGTGCATGGATGCACTATTGTCTGTTGCAAAAAAAGTGTAAAGCGCTTGTAAAGCAGAAGATGGCTTTTGCAGGAGACTATTATGACACTAGAATAACCAGAGTAGTAGTACAGAAGTGGAGAGCTTGGGTACAATTTCGCAAGGACCAAATAGCATGTAAGTTTTACAAGCTGTTTTGCATAAACAAAAATTATAAATATAAACACACCCACCCACTCTACTAGCACATTTACTCGGTGTTGTTGCTTGGATCCTCAAGGGAAAAGTTCAGGGCTGGGCATGTGGAGGGTGCAGGAGTCAGGGTTGGGGGGGTGAGGAGGGACTCTGGGCAGGGGACTCTTATGTGTAAAGGGGTGGTCTTGAGGGCGGGGCAAAACTCTTTCCACCCCAGGGATTTGTACCATGGTTTGTTGCTCTTCCCCTTCTTGACCCTGTCAGGGAATGAGAGCAAAGTGCACAGCTTGTCTGCCCCCTGCACTCACCCAACCAGAGTGAGGAATGCAGCAAACTGCGCAGTTTCCCCATGCTCCCTGATGAAGGAGAACAGTTAGCAATGTCCCTGTACAAAATCTGAGGTGAGAGAGGAGCTTTAGCCCCAGTTGCTCTTCCTCACCAAGGGCATCTGGGGGATGGGAGACTCGGAGTTGGGGCAGTCCTGGATGGGGGGAGTACCCCTAGCCAGCCCCTTTCACTTGCCTCATGATTCTGTCTCTTTTCTGTATGGTTTTATGAGATGCAATCCCATTCCAGGCACATCTCATTTTACTAGCACAACCAGACCTTACACTGCTTAAGTTATGATAAGAGGAAATGGAATTCCAAATTTGGTGGTCCTAGCTCTCACTGTTGAGGAAGAGTTCTTGAACAGACAGACAGACAGACAGACAAACTCTCTCAAATATATAGAAGAAAAGCGTAATCGTATTTGAGCAACACAGAAGTTGTGAGTCTTTGAACTTTTGTCATGGAGCTCATTAATCGCTGTGCATAATCAGACTATGTCTAAACTACAGAGTTTTGTTGGAAAAATGGCTGTTTTTCTGACAAAACTTGAGTTATGTCCACACTGCAAGCACGTTCTTTCAACAGTAAATCAAAGAATAGAGGGCTTTTTGCGCAATTGGTAATCCTCATTCTACGAGGAAGAAGCCTTTTTGTGAAAGAGCTCTTTTGCAAAAAGGCGTGTGTGGATGGGGAAGAGGGAGTTTTTTTGGAAGAGAGGAAAGAGGAAAAAGCACAGGTGCCCTCGTGGCCATTCTGTCCATAGCAATCCCTGCTTACATGCGAGATAGCGTCCAGGCAGTCTGGATGCTATCTTTCGAAAAAGCACATCACTTTTTGATGTGCTTTTGCAGTATGGATGCTCTCCTGTGCAATAAGTTTTTTCGGAAGATCTCTTCCGAAAAGAGCTTGCACAGGAAGCCTGTAGTCTAAATGTAGCCTCAGTTATTCAAAGATTTTAGATTATTGTATTTGTACAGTGTTTGTATAGGACAAAAATAGATCTTGTATGTCTTACTGCTGAGCAAATAATTTTTTTCTCGTTTAAAAATATTTGTGGGGTTTTCAGTTAGATAAAAAATAAGACATGAAATTATTATTATTTTAGGAATATAAATAGTTTAATAGAAGATCTGTTTTTAAAACTAACATTAAAATCCTGGTTGCAGAGCTGGTTTAATTTAGGTCAAAATCTGCTGCGTGACTTCTGCATGACTTAAAAAGTTACTCAGTTATTTATAAATATTTAATTTGTAAGAGTTCTTGTGACCCAAAAACCAGCTAAATTGTTTGAAGTATTTTAAATTGTTCAGTTTATTCATTTTGAGATTTGTCACGGGGCGACTTGGTCATGTCCTCAAGTCCCCCCCCTCTGCCTCTGTGGTCCTACGCCACCCCGACCTGCTGCTCCTAGTCAGGTGTGAGTTCCCTAACCGATTTGCTCCTGTGATTACCCCAAGCGGGGCGTGAGAGGGGCCCGGGCCCTCCCTCTCTCCAGGCTCCAGCCCAGGGCCCTAAGGTGAGGGAAAATATCCGCTTTCCCCCCATCTGGCTGATGGGGCCACCTGCTGCAATTCATCAGCCCACAGGCAATCCAATTACGCCTGCCCTGGGCTACTTCCTCACCCCCGCTCACCCCAGTGTTCCATACGTTTCTTGCCGGGAGCCTGGACTCTTCTCCTCCGGGTCCCCCACCATCCTTCCCTGTCCGAAGGCCCCAGCCACCCTTATAATGCCAAGGGTGCCACTCTCCTCCTCCAGTACGCCTGCGCTGGCGTCTTTTATCTCTGCTCCTCCCCAGCCCCCGCGGGCTCCACCCCCGACACCCTCACCGGTGTCGGTGTTCACTTGTGCCAGCGCCTCCCCCAGTGAATCAGCTGGGGTGCCGGCCAAGCTTTTGACTGTGCGGCATGCTCCTATCGCTGCCGCAGCCTCCCCTGTCTGTACCCTGGCGGCGTGGCTTGCGCCTGATGCCTCCGTGGCCTCCCCTACGGCATGGGGCACCAGTTCGTCCCCCTCTGGCTCCCAAAAGGGGCTGAAGGTAGTGCGGGGTTGCATCACCCCGTCACAAGGTTCAATACAATTCAGTTTGGGTGTGTGAAAACCAACATAAATTTAGTGTGAATATTTTTAGGATATAATTAAAATATCAAAACTGAACAATTAAGAATTCTTCTTGCAGGAGGATTCTTAACTTAAAACAAATAGTCCCATTCAGGTTATGTCTAGACTGCAGAGCTTTCCTGGGATACCAGAGGTATCCCGGAAAAGCTCTGCCACGTCCAAGGAAAGCGTCCGCTTTTCCAAAAAAAAATGTCGGAAAAGCGGACGTGTTTTTTCAGCATCCCTGTAAATCTCGTTATATGAGGAAGAAAGGATGTTCTGAAAGAGGATTTTTTCCTGAAATTTGGCCCTGTGTAGACAGTCCACATTTCAGAAATGCCTCTTTCAGAAATAAATCGGAAAATGATACATAATTTGCGTACCACAAATTGCGTTTGTTTTTCCGATTTATCTTTGTAGTGTAGACATAGCCTCAGATAAATGTGACTACTCATATGAGCAAGAGCTATTGGAATGAGTTAGGGTGTGTCTAGACAGCACCCTTCTGTTGGAATAAACTATGCAATTTGCGCTATGCAAATTGAGTACCTTATTCCGAGTCTAGGTTGAAAGAGCTTATTTTGAAATTTGGCACTGTGTAAAGATGCGGTGTTGCTATTTCGGGATACTTCTAGTCCCGTAGCAGGAGGCTTCTGGGTACACATCTGGCTCTGTCGATCTGTCTCCTCACTTCCTCGTGTGGGTATCGCAGTTTACAGAATGCTTGTTGAAGATCTTGTAGGTGTAGGTCTCTGTCTGAGGGGTTGGAGCATATGCGGTTGTACCTCAGTGCTTGGCTGTAAACAATGGATCGTGTGGTGTGTCCGGGATGGAAACTTTTGTAATGAAATACATTTTTTCTAGTGGCAGCAATGAGGATACAAAAGGTCTTTAATGACAATTTGAAGAAAATTATCCTAAGGGCGTGGCATGCAGAGGCTCAGAGTTCCGCAAAAACAAAAGCATATTTTGAGGTACATTACATAGAATTTTAAATATAACATGCTGAATGATTAAAGAATATACTTCTATGAACTGATGCTGTTCTGGGAAAGTAATCTTATGCACATAAAATAAAAATGAGCCATTCTACCATACTATTGCCACCACACCAGTTATTTAGTACTTTAGTAACACTGTATTTTCAAGGCACTGTGCAAACAATTTGTGAAACATAAAACTCTATTAATGAATGCTGGAATTGCTTTGCAGGGTTGCAGTTTTTATGTTTTTTTAAAATTATCTTCTTCGTCGAGTAGTGTCCCCGAGGGTGCTCCACTCGAGATGCTGGGCTTGTCCCGGCGCCGCAAACGGAGAAACTTCCTTAGCAGTAGCCCTGTCCGCCGGGGGGGGGGAGCCGTTACAGCTAAGCGTGGGCTGGCTCGTCAGTTTCCTTTCAACCGTCCGCAGCCACAGCTGGACCTAGGACGCGCCCCCTCTCCGGCCTGAGGAGAAAAGGGAGTTTTACTTTAGAGTTGTTAATTGCCACTTGGCAGTTTATAGTTAGTGTAGTTGTTAATAGTTAGTAGTTAGTTAGTTTCAAAATCTCTGTTTTCCCATCCTAAGTTATAGTTGTGTTGTTAGCCAAAAAAAAAAAAAAAGAACTGTTTATTGTGCTGGCAATCTACAAGGATTATGCCTGGGTTTAAGAAATGTGTGCAGTGTCAGGATGCAATGCCCGACTCAGATGGGCACTCGCGCTGTGTCAAATGTCTGGGGGATGGGCACATTCCGACGAAGTGCCCTCACTGCATGAAACTGACAGCCCGCGCTAGACGCGATCGCGAAATGCGGCTAAGAATTCTTTTATTCAATAAAGCCCTCTAGGCTGAGTCCAGCGCTCCGTCTCCTGCTGACCCTGGGACTCACTCGGCTCGTTCACCAACTAAAGAGCCCAACAAGTCCGGTGAATTACCTCAGCGACGAAGTGCCGGGGACAGACCGGGTACCTCTGGCTCCCTGACAAGGCACCCGACAGACAAGATGGGTAAAGGCCGTAGTGCCTCAGCCCCGAGTCTTGCCTGTCCCAAAGACCCGATCCGGCTTCCTTGTAAAGGGCCGCGGGCAGAATTGGCGCCGGCAACGGCTCTAAGAGCCACCTTGCAGCCAGCAATGGCGGCCCCGGCACCAGCTGCTGCCGCACATGCGCAGCCGATCACCTGCTGCCACCCATGCTGGCAGCGCCGGCTGCTGAGTCTGTGATCCTCACGGTGCTGCAAGCACCAGCGTCGACCCCCGCACCGCAGGCGAGCATCGGCACCACATAGCCCTCTGCACCGCAGCCTCCTCCGGCACCGGCACAGCTTCCAGCTCACACGGCACCACTGATTCAACAGGGCAGCCATTCGACTGGGGCTACACCACTCCAAATGGCATTCCCACTTCAAACGGCACTGTCTTCCCCTCTTGATTCTTCAGTGCTGACTAAGGCACAATACAAGTCAAGGCGTGTTCGGACATCTTCCCTCACGCCAGACCGAGCTGTGTTCTCCCCGAGACGTTGGTCACCAGCTTCATCTTGCTCGGATGATCATCACGCTCCTCATTAGGTCTCCACCAGGTATCACTACCATAGATCACCATCATGCTGGCGCTACTCTTGCTATTCTCGTTCTCCATCTCGTTTTTCTGGTAGATCTATCTTACCAAGATCCTCGAGATGCTCAAGATATTCACACCGATGCGATGCGTCCAGAGCCTACTCTCCCAGGCGCTCCCCAACTCACCGTCAGATATGATCATTACTATGATGACCGCCTACCTTCTCATAGCACGCAATACCTGCGCGTACGGTCTCCCTGACACACTAGTCCAGTGCCTCTGCCTCACGCTCCTTCGCCAGCCGTTCCATCAGCACCTGCGGAGGACATTGTCTCAATTTCGAATCAGGACGAGCATGAGGACAACTATACACCGAACAGGGAACCACTGACCCCTGGGTCTCCGGCCAACTATTCATCATCATCTCCGGACGATGCTGTCTTCCTTGGGAAGCTATCTCCCATGGAAGATCATAAACAATTTCAAGAGCTCTTTGCGAGGGTTGCGCAGTCTCAGGGTATTCAGACTACGGACGTACAGCAAAAGCAACACCCCTTGTTAAATAATCTGTAGTCGTCACAGAAATCGAAATTGGCTCTGCCCTTTGATGACGCGATCTTGGAAATCGCAAATGATATGTGCTTCCTTACCGACTAACAAGGTCGGATAAGAAATATTTTATAAACCAAAAGGGTATGGACTTTTTGTTCACGCACCCCCAGCCCAATTCCCTCATCATGGACGCCACACAACAGAGATCCAAGACGGCTGAAACTAAAAATACTGCAAGTGACAAAGAGGCTAAGCGCCTGGACATTTTAGGTAGAAAAGTATATTCTTCTGCTGCTTCAGTTCTCCGAATGTGTAACTGCATGGCTCCCCTCGCAAATCATGACTTTGACAATTATTCGAAATTAGTCCCTCTTCTAGAACACCTACCGGACTCGAAGCGTCAAATCTTAAGGGCAGTAATACAGGAGGGCTACGCAACGGCTAGAACAGCATTGCAGATTGCCCTGGACACAGCTGATGCAGCAGCTAGAGCCGCAGCTACTGCTATAGTTATGCCTCGTGGGTCCTGGTTACACCAAGCCGCTGCTCCGAAAGAGTTGTTAAACAGGTAGAAGACTTACCTTTTGATCGTCAGTCTCTCTTTGCCTAGTCCACTGATCAGGTGTTCCACTCGGGCAAAGACTCCCGTACGACACTTAAAACGCTTGGGATGTATACGCCTCCATATAAGCGTAAGAGGTATATGCCCTATAACAAACAGAGACCTTTCTCTTATGCAACATTCCATGCCAAACCATATGAGCAGCAGAGGCCAAGACAACGCCAGCAGAAACGAAGACAACAGCCTGGCAAAACATCTGGTCATCAGCAGGGCCGGCAACAAGTTTGATGCCTCGGTCGAGGGACTGCGTACCACCCCTTTGCTGGGAGTGTCACACAACCAGAGAGCTTTGTTCCATCATCGGCTGAGGCCTTATCAGCTTCGCTGGTCTCTGATTTCTACCGACCGCTGGGTCACCGACATAGTTGTTTCAGGATATGCCATCCCTTTCAACTCAATCCCCCCCCCACTCCCCTTCCTCCCCGTCCCTTTTCAGGGACCCCTCTCATGAGAATCTTCTACAGCAAGAGGTGTTTCGACTACTTACTATAGGAGCGGTGGAGAGGGTACCCATTCAGTTTCGGGGGAGAGGCTTCTTCTCCCGGTACTTCCTCACTCAGAAGAAATCAGGAGGTTGGAGGCCTATCCTGGACCTACGTCGACTCAACCGTTACCTGCGGAAACAAAAATTCAAAATGGTCACGTTAGCATCCATCATTCCGGCTCTCGACAAAGGGGATTGGTTTGCGTCCCTCGACTTACAGGACGCTTATTTCCACATAGCGATTCATCCGGCTCACAGGCGATTCCTTCGTTTCGTGATGGGTTCAGACCATTACCAATACCAAGTGCTACCCTTCGGCCTGTCAGCAGCGCCACGGGTGTTTTCCAAAACCCTGGCGGTGGTAGCTGCCTACCTTCGATGCCTCAGTATCACAATCTTCCCGTACCTCGACGATTGCCTACTAAAGGCCCCTACTCGCAAGGAGACTACATGGGCAGTGACCACTACCACAACGGTGTTCGAGGCGTTGGGACTCATAATCAACTTTGGCAAATCATCCCTGACTCTGAGCCAGGACTTGGAGTTTATCGGCGCAAGGCTCGATGCACTGAGTGCAAGGGTATATTTACCCACAACAAGGTTCGAGTTGATTCGGGATCTGGTGCAGATGGTGTCAGTTGCTCCCAGATCCTGCATACTTACATGTCTACAGCTGCTCGGACATATGGCTGCCACCACATATGTGGTGTCACATGCGAGACTGCACCTACGCAGCCTCCAACATTGGCTTTTCACGGTGTACACACCAGGGGTACACACCGTGAACAAAACAGTATCCATCCCCAAACACGTCAGGACTTCACTAGCATGGTGGGACAACCCCAAAAATCTGCTATCAGGGGTCCCCTTCCACGCACAAAGGCCCATGGTACAAATCACAACAGATGCTTCTTTGATCGGTTGGGGGGTCCATCTGCAAGACCATCAAGTTCAGGGGTTCTGGACGTCACAAGAGTCCCTTGAACACATACATTTCCTCGAACTGCGAGCTGTATTCAACGTATACAGGCACTTCCTCCAGAGGATTCGGGGTCTTGCGGTCCACATTCTCACCGACAATATATGCACGGTGTACTATATCAACAGGCAAGGCGGGGCACATTCACGATCCCTTTGTGTGGAGGCCATACGGCTGTGGAACTGGGCGATCCATCACGAGGTAACCCTTACCGCATCGTACCTTCCAGGCAAAGACAATATCATAGCCGATGCCCTCAGCAGACATTTCCTTCCCCAACACGAGTGGGAGTTACACAACAAAGTGGTTCGAGGTCTTTTCCATCTCTGGGGGTTCCCGAGTATAGACCTCTTTGCCACGCGTCACAACAAAAAGTGTCATCATTATTGCTCACGAGCGGGCATAGGCACGAATTCCTTGGGAGATGCTCTCCTGCTCAATTGGGGTCATCATCAGCTACTCTATGTGTTTCCACCTCTCCCTCTTATTCCGAGGGCGCTAGAGAAGATAGCGATGGAGGGCGCAACAGTGATATTCATAGCACCCTTTTGGCCCCGACAGACCTGGTTGATGCAATTGTCGAGAATGTCGGTCGCTCGGCCGCGACGACTACCACTGCTGCCCAATTTGCTGTCTCAACGGCACGGTTCGATGGTGCATACGAGCATCGAGCGCATGCACCTCACAGCATGGCTCCTAACTGGTTTCAGCCGCCAGAAATGACGTGCTCTCAAGAAGTAAAACATGTACTGATAAATAGCAGACGCCATAGCACCCGCAAGTCCTACACTTACAAATGGCATCAATTCCAAATGTGGTGCCTGGAGAGGGGTTTTGACCCTCTCTCTCTTTACCAGTGCAGCAAGCTTTGGACTACATCTGCCACCTGAAGGCAGAGGGGTTAGCAAATGCTTCATTGAAAGTTCACTTGGCAGCAATCTCGGCTTTCCGCCCTCCCTTCGAGGGACATTCATTGTTCACTCACCCGTTAGTTAAAAGATTCCTAAAGGGGCTCGAGAATCTATATCCGACCTACCCCCGGAGCCGTGGGACTTAGCCTTGGTACTGAATGTGCTAACTCGTCCACCCTTTGAGCCATTAGCAACTTGCGACTTGCGCATGCTCACGATGAAAGTGTCATTCCTTCTGGCAATTACATCAGCTCTCCGAGTTAGTGAATTGGCAGCTCTTTCAGCCGATCCACCGTACACAGTTTTCTCTGCACAGGGGGTGATACTTCGCGTCCACCCCCCCATTCCTTCCGAAGGTAAATTCCCCTTTCCATATAAACGAGCCCATAAGCCTGCCAACGTTCTATCCAAAACCTCATTCTTCGCCAGAAGACTCACGTCTACATACCCTCGACGTCAGACGGGCACTGGCCTTCTATCTGCACAGAACACGTGCCTTCAGGAAGTCGCGGCGTCTTTTTATGGCTACGGCGGAACGTTCTAAAGGCCAACAGCTCTCCACACAACGTATTTCCAACTTGATTACCTCCTGCATCATACGTTGTTATGCCCTACAGCACGAACCCTTACCAGCACGGCCTTGCGCTCATTCCACCAGAGACATGGCTGCATCTACTGTGTACCTTAAAGGGGTATCCTTACAGGACATATGCCGTGCAGCAACTTGGTCGTCTGCTCTCACCTTCGCCAAGCACTATGCCCTTGCGAAAATCTTGAAGAATGATTCAGCAGTGGCGCAAGCAGTCTTGACCACAGCACAGAGACCATAAATCCGAAGCACGCCAATAGTGCTGGACCACTACTGTGTACTCACCTCGAGTGGAGCACCCTCGGGGACACTACTCGACGAAGAAGAGAGAGTTACTCACCCTGTGCAGTAACGTCTGTTCTTTGAGATGTGTGTCTCCGTGGGTGCTCCACGACCCACCCTCCTCCCTGCTTCGGAGCTTTTGTTTATCTCTTTTCAGATGCTTCTGGTTGGGAGGAAACTGACGAGCCGGCCTGTGCTCAGCTGTAACGGCGCGAACGGCGTGAGGCAGCAGGAGCGCATGTGAGGGCCGGCAGGGCTACTGCTAAGGAAGTTTCTCTGTTTGCGGCGCCGGGACGAGCCCAGCACCTCGAGTGGAGCACCCACAGGGACACACATCTCGAAGAACAGACGTTACTGCACAGGCTGAGTAACTCTCTCTTCTTAAACTTTCACCTCTAAAAATATGTTCTAAGTGCTTCTATTATTTGTGGTATTCTAATCACAAGAGAATTTTTCCATCAACAGAATGCTTTTCAACTGCAATTAATAGGTATCTTAATATTGTTAAAAAATGTAGGCCAGTTTAAGCAAAGCTGAGCCAAGGAGGTGTCAGGCACTCCTCTCTATGCTGTTACCTCCAGAGGCTCAGACAGCATTGCTGTCTCTGCTTTTAGTATGTTTGTCTGCATTACAATATTTTCTGGTGTTTGAATATGATTCTGAAGATACAAGTTAACTGACATGATTTAACATGATTTAACATTCACTGTAAATGAGGGAGTTGTGGTGTGTGTCAGAGTGCAGGCTGTGGCTGGGAATTAAGAGTTTGGGGTGCTGGAGAGGTCTCTTGGCTGGGTCAGGAGGTTAAGGAGTTTGAGGGATGAAGGCTCTAGCTGAGGGTGTGGGCTCTGGAGTGGGCTCGGGGATGAAGAGTTTAGGTTGCGGGGGGAAGCTCAGGGCTGGGGCAGCAGATTGGAGTGTGGGGTCTTGGCGGTGCTTATTATGCTCCTAGGAAGTGGCTGCCTATTCCCTGCATCTCCTAGGTCAGAGGTGGGAAATAATTTTTAAAAGCGGGCCACTTCAGAAATTTGTGAAGTGGCCCTGGGCCACCCCAGAAATTTGTGAAGTGGCCCTGGGCCACCCCAGAAGGGGCAGGGCTTCAAACAGAAGGGGCGGAGCCAAGAGACTTCTTGTGCTCCCCCACCCACAGACCCTGATTGGTCTGGGTATGGGGGAGCACGTGAAGTTTTGCCTTCCCATCCCAGTGCCTAGAGAGAATCGCCAGCTATTTAAAAACAGCTGGTGGTTCTCTCTAGGTGCTGTAGCAGGAGGAGACTTTGTGTGCTCCCCTTTACCTCTGGGCCAATAAGAGCCTAGAAGCAGGAAGAGTGCACAAAGTCCCTTACCCTCTGCCCCCACCCTGCCAGGGTGTGTGGCAGCAGGGAAAGAAAAGCTGGCTGATTTAAAACAGCCGGTGATTCCCTCTGATAGCACACGCCTCTGGCGGTGGGAGGAGACTTCACATGCTCCCCTGTCCCCAGGTCTCAATTGGCCTGGGGGCAAGGGAGCAGCAAGGCAGCCGTGGGCTGGATCCACCGGGTTGATGGACTGGATCTGGCCTTTGGAGGTTGTCTTGCCCACCCCTGCCCTAAGTGCATGGATAGACAAGGAAGCTCTGCAATGCACTGCCCTGCTCTTATGCCAGCAGACACCGTCTCCCACAGCTCCCGTTGGTCACAGTTCTCAGTCAATGGGAACTGTGGAGCAGGCATTTGGGGCAGGGCCAGTTCCCAGAGCCTCCCCATTTCTGACCATGTGCCCAGGGAATGCAGGGACCTGGCAGCTGCTTCCAAAAGCAGTGCAGAGCCAGGACAGCTAGAGAGCCTGCCCCAGGCTCCCCTGTACCACCGATTAGACTTTTAACAGCCTGTTTGGCAGTGCCTAGTAAACTTAATTGTAATTTGATCTAGACTTCACTGACTGCTAAGTCATCTAACTTGACTCTTGACAGTCTTGTTCAAATGTTAGTTAACAGATATAGAAGGTATGAATCCTATGTGGGAAGTTTTAATTTCCATGGAGTTCCACTAATGGGAATACCTGGGGTGAGAGACACCATTAATTGACTTCTTGGCTGCTCTAGCCATGAGCCTTTTTCAGACAGCAGTTTTGGAAAGTCTGGGCTTCTTAAAGCTTCCTGCAGGAACTGCAGGTACTTTGCAATAGCAACCTTTTTATCCTCTTCACATATTTTAATCCCGAGATATTCTGTTGCTATTTACCTTATCCAGTAGTAAATTTAACCTATTTTGGAATGGAACACCAGAACTGTATACATTGGGACCAGTACCCCAATATACCACAGTTGGATGTGCTTCAGTAGCATTGTGAATCACGAGGCTGCCTTAGTTGCATTGTGAACCACAAGTTTGCAAAATGTGTCTTTTAACCTATTAAGGCACACCTACGTATGTCTCCTTATTATTAGAGAATATCTCCTCTTTTCTTTTTCTTTTTTTTAAAATTCCTGCAATATATCCTTCCCGTATGAAAAGTAGTTTCTCTTAGAAAGGTAAGATAACGTATTAGAGAAAAGATTATAAATACTCCTTTCTCAATTATATCAAATGTGGTTATTGATGCTTTCATTTTTTATTTCTTTTAATTATATTACCAAGTCTGTTCAGGCTCCTTCTTCTTCTTCCATGCTCGCAGTTTCCCTTTCAGCTGCAATTTTTGGCCAGTCTGCCACTTCAGTTACCATTTTTTGTTGAATACATTGAGACACTAATCCTACAAAGGATTTGAGGAATAAACGCACAGAGATGGAGTCTTTGCAGAACGGGGCTTTAAATTACTGGAAAGCTTGATTTAGGCCCTGATCCTATAGCCCTGAAGTCATTAAAAAGCTCTCATTCCCTTCCATGGTACCTGGACAGGCTTTTATTTATTATAATAAAAAAATAAAAAAGCAAGAGAGATACAAACTGCTCATGAGGGAAAGATCCAATCTAAAACTACCGCTTTTCCCATCTGTTCTTCCCAATCTGCCTTCCCATTGTTCTTTGGTTTGTCTTGCTTTCTTCTTCCCCTTCTCTTTTATACAGCAAATAACTAAATTTCTACTGCACTGTATATTCAAACTAGTATTTAACAGATATGCTAAAATGCACAGTACTCTGTACACGTATTTGTCAAACACTTCATGAACTTCATCATGAGATTGTTGGAGTCATATTCATTATTATTTTTTAAACAGATGTTTAAATCTATGAATTAAAAAACTAATTGAATTTAGAAATGATATATTGTACTTTTATAATATTTCAGAGCATATTCAGTTCATAAGTAAAGATGGCACTTTCATTTGGATAAGGATAATTATAATTCTCCTGTGTTATTTTTTTCAGCGTTTGGTAAAGGGAGACCAGGAAGAATGTTTTGAAAAACAGGATTATGAACAATATTCTTCTTCAGAAACAGTTAAAGATGAAATGTCAAATATACAGGAACGAGCAATATTGCAGGTTGCTAAAAGTTTGTGTAATTGATAGAGTTGTATTTGATACAGTGTTTAAAGAAAATGACTGAAGTATCTGTTAGTGATCATGGCACTTTTAGCCAGTAAATGATGAGGTATACAAACTCACACTGACTAGGAAAGGGTTAATGAATTGCTGTGGGCTGTCAGTTTTACCCTGCTGCATCACCAGCAGGTAGCAGCACTAGAGGGAGGGGTTAAAAATGAAGAGCCCAGGACCTGGTGAGGAAGGAGAGCAGACCTCCACTCTTATTTCATGAGAAGAGCCTACTTTAGAGACTGATACTTGCCAGGACCTCCCTGAGGAAAGGTAGGCTGTGATTTGTTATCAGTGCCTTGCTTGTTGTTGCTGGGTAAGACAGCTGCAGGTGGTACCCCACCTGAAATAGAAGATAGCCAAATGAAAACCTCTAACTGGGGACCTTGCAGATGTTGGGTTGCTAATTTAGCACCTGAAGGAGCATATTCTTCATGCAGCATTATCAGGGTATGTCTACACTACAAAGTTAATTCGAACTAAAGTTTGAATTAGCTTTGATAGGCGCTACACTAGCACTCCGCTAGTTCGAACTTAATTCGAACTAGCGGAGCGCTTAGTTCGAATTAGGTAAACCTCATTCTACAAGGACTAAGCCTAGTTCGAACGTACTAGTTCGAATTAAGGGGTGTGTAGCCCCTTAATTCGAACTAGTGGGAGGCTAGCCCTCCCCAGCTTTCCCTGGTGGCCACTCTGGTCAACACCAGGGAAACTCTATTGCCCCCCTCCCGGCCCTGGATCCCTTAAAGGGGTACGGGCTGGCTACGATACCTGTGCCAGGTGCAAGCCTGCCAGCACCCAGCCAGCAGACCCTGCACCTGGCACGGATTGAGCCACCCACCCGAAGCCCCCCACCCCTCCCCCTCTTCCCGGGACCAGGCTGGCTGCTCCCGGGAGCTTGCCCGGGACCGCAAGAGGCGGGCACCCACCTGGGCTAGTGCGGACATCGTGGACCTCGTCCACGATCTCCGC